GGCAGAAATGCAGTGGTGTCAGTAGGGGGTGGGGCAGGATGGACCTGAGATTTACGGCATATCTTTGGGAAAATCAGTTTAGGACTTGGTAGGGGTGAGCGGGAGGGGAATTAGTGCTGTACTGAAGAAGAATGTTGGAGAGTTTGATGTCGAAAGGGGAAGAGTTAAGGTATGAGCGGGAGAAGAGGTTTGGGGAAAACAGATTGTAGAACCAGGCCTAGATGCCCATGTTCCATGAAGAGTCAACTACTTTGGAGTTTCCTTGCCTGGGAAGGAAGGGCTGGCAGCTAAGGAAAGTTAGGGGGAGAGGGACTTTTGGTGTTACGGTGGGATAAGCCAGAGAGATTCCCCATACCTTCCACCCTAAAGCAAGGAAGCTCAAACATGGTTTTTCAAGTGAAAGATATCATTAATTTAACAGACTGGTTGAATGCTTAGCAGCAACGGATGTGTGGGCTGGGGTGGGGCGGGGAGGTGAGGAGGGTAGCCCGACAAGAAAAGTAGTAGATGGCATGTCCTTGACGACTTCATAGACTTACATGCAAGAAACAATCTGAGCTTCCTCTGTACTTCATACTTCAATGGATTGCTGATTTCATTGGCCTAGGGCTGGCTGCAACTGGTGCAGCCAGATTATTCGCTACAGCCCATTCATTCCTTGCCTCTTCTGTCCTCCTGTTTGAAGCACATAGGGCACTGGGTGATGTGTTTTTTCTGAGTTAGGAGAAGATGGGGAGAAAGGAAGAAGGAACTCATCCTCATCCTCATCTTCACTGTAAAGGAAATTTCCTGGAATAAAACCCAGAACCAGCTCTCTTTCCTTCAGTTCAAAAATAATTTATTAATCCCACCCTTCAAGTACCAGGTGCTGTGCTAATCACTGGGCATATACAAAGACAAAAAAAAAAAAGGCCTTCTAGGAGTTGGTGTCCTATTGGTTGGAAATAATATGACCAAATAAGTAAATATAGGTAAAAAAAATTTTCCTGCCAAATTTATGATTTCATTGGTATATGGAACTGCCAGTGAGAAAACTCCCTCTGCTAACATAGATATAAGCACCTGCTCTGAAATGTAGGATCTTAGAGAGTTAATGTGGGTCCTGAGTTGTTAAGTGACTTGCCTACAGTCACACAGTCAGTCTATGTCAGAGACAGAGCTTGCACTCAGATCTTCCTGGTTCTGAGGCTAGCTCCCTCTCCACTACTTCAGGGTGCTTCTCTGTAAGTATAAAATTATGTGCACAGTAATGACAAAGTATTGGGGGGTAGGAGAAGGAGGGACAGCACAAAACTTGTGAGGGAAGGGGAATCAGGGAGGGTCTCTTGTGAGGAGGGAGGGCTTGAGCTGAGCCTTTATGGACTTTCCATTTTGTTATTTTTATCTTATTGAAAAGGCAGGGTGCTGTAATAGGGTAGTACAGAGGCCCACAACACTCCTACCAAACCAGATTAAGGTGTAATTGTGAAATTTTTAACAAAATAAAAATACAACACAATATAGATAATGCTAATATGTGGTTTTCTGAGTCAATATGCAGCCCACAGAGATCTTTATGTATGGTTTAGTGACCTCAGTTTCTCTTTTAGTTTGATACCTGTCAGAATAAACAGAGAACCACCCAAAAAGCCAGGAAGATACAGTCAGGTTCTGCCTCTGATACATCCTGGCTGTGTAACCCTGAGGGACTCACTGAAATTCTTGGTGCTGACCTTCAATGATAGAGAGAGTTTCTTCGTTTGGGAACTCATTCCCCACCTTTGATGACACCACAGGTCCAGTCACTACCCTACTAATATTTGTTGTTCTGTTGTTTTTCATTGTGTCTACTCTTCATGATCCCATTTGGGGTTTTCTTGGCAAAGATACTGGGAATGGTTTTCCATTTCCTTCTCCAGCTCATTTTATAGATAGGAAACTGAGGCAAACAGGATCAAGTGACTTGCCCAAGATGGCACAGCTAGTAAGTGTCTGAGGCTGGATTTGAACTCAGATCTTCCTGACTCCAGGCCTAGCATTCTATCCACTGTGCCAATTAATATTGCCAGGCTTTAAACACTCATAATTGAAATACTGTTGAAGCATCCCAGGCTAAGGAAGTGGCTGTGTATTCTTTCTGTTCTGGGTAAGTTGAGAGCTCAAATGCTTCCATCCATTCTCTCCCACCCAGAATGCCCTACCTTTCTTCCCTGTACTCCTCCTTTATGTGTCTCTCCTTCAAAACCCCCAGATTTTATCTCTTCCAGGAAGCCTTTCCTGGCTTCCCTTGTATATCTCTCTACATTATTTATTCTTCATACCCACTACATTTATTCACCTACACAATTGGCACTAGATTCTTCTGCATTCCTTCCTCTGTTTCCTCGGCCTTATCTCTTCCATCATTTTCCAAGGTCAAGGATTGTCTCCAACTCTCATAACTAGCACAGAACTCTGCCTGCCTGAGGGGCAGCCCCAAACCAGGAAGGACATACTTGCCAACAATCTTATCATCTGTAGCACAGAACAGAAAACATTTGGGGACCTCGTAAACCGTGGGGGTTGCTATCATCTGTTCTGCTCTGTGTCAGGACAGTCAGGTGTTCCAGCTCACCAAGTATTCAGGTTAACTGAGAGTTAACCACAGAGATCTTGTGGCAGTTACCAAAGTCTATTAAAATGTGCTCTGCACTGAGACATTAGGAAACACAATTTGATCCTTGGTAAGTCAAAAGGCATATCAATGTGCCAGGGTCACCATCATGACATCCGTTACCACTCTTAAAACCTGTTGAAGCAACCTAGTTACCTGAGTTTCCTGGTGGTTTTGAATCAGTATCAGCTGGAGTTCATTGCAAGTCTTTTCTTAGTAAGGTATCTGTAGACCTGTGTCCAGAGTACTCAGTAACCAGAGGTGTAGGGATATGGTTAAATATTTACTTGCCTGCCCAAGGCTTATCATCAGGGAGGGGAATTAAATGGAAAATCCTTAAACAGGTCCACCCATTCTGCAGTGTCACACCTGTGCTTGCAAAGGCACATAGTCCACCTAAATAAATACTTGTTAACATGGTCCTTAATATCAAGTATCCTTAATATGAGTAGTTCTTCCTTACAATGGAACTATCTTAGATTTGAGTAACAAGGGATATGACCAAAGTATGGTTTTGCTCATTGGGAATTCAAAGAGGTAGAGGGAATTGAAGGATTGCAGGGAGCAAAAAGTTGGAATTGAGTTTTATGTGTGTGTATTGGCTGTGTACTTTTGGGTTGTAAGTGTACATTAAGCCAAGTATATACCTGTAACTTAGTGTAGGCATCCACTATGCCTATCAATTAAGCATTAAGTACCTACTATGTGCTCAGTAGGGTCAGTGGATAGAGCGCTGGACCGACCAGGAGTCAGGAAGACCTGAGTTAAAATTCAGCCTCACACACTTACTAGCTGTATGACCTTGGGCAAGTCATTAACCACTGCCTAGGAGGTAGCTTGGTGGCTCAGTGGAGAGAGGACTGGGCCTGGGGTCAGGAACACTTCAATTCAGATCTGACCTCAGATACTTACTAGCTGTGTGACCTTCGCCAAATCACTTAACTTCTGTTTGCCTTAATCCACTGGAGAAGGAAATGACAAACCACTCAGCATTTTTGCCAAGAAAACCCTATGGACAGTATGGTCTAGAGGGTCACAAAGAGTCAGACATGACTAAATGAACAGCAACAATGTGTTTAATGGTACAATACTGTTACCGTACCTCAAGTACCTCCAGCATTGTGGTGGGCTTGAGTATCCAAAGACAAAAGAGAAGCTTTGGTTCCCTAGCCTCAGGGAGTTTATGGTCAGGTTTTTGTTTTTTTTTAATTTTTTGCTAGGCAGTGGGGTTAAGTGACTTGCCCAGGTTCACACAGCTAGTAAGTGTCATGTGTTGTATGTCTAAGACTGGGTTTGAACTCAGGTCCTCCTGACTCCAAGAGCTCTATCCACTGTACCGCCTAGCTGCCCCTTCAGGGAGTTTACATTTTATTGGGAAGCCCAAAGCTTTATTTGTGTACAAGTCTAGGCCTCTCCTAACCTGGGAGCTACTTTAGATCAGGAGAATGTCATTTTTTTTCTTCCCATCATTGTATCCCCATTACCTAAACAGCATCTTAGTCTGATGTAGGTGTTTAAAGCTTATTGAATTGAAAGAAGGAAAGCAGGAAGTGTGTGCTTGGGACTGAGCACCAGCGTCAGCCAGGGCCCAACCATGAGTCTGCAAGCGTGAGTGAGCATAAGTGCCTAGGGAAGTCTACAAAGCGACCTGGAGGGTTTTGTAAGAGGGAAAGGAGGAGAAATGAGTCTAGGAGGTTGGTTTATATCAGTCCCTCCAGTACAGTTCCCATAAATCCCAGTGTCTTGGCCCTGAGGGTAGATGTAGGGGTTGTGTGTGCATGTGAGTAGAAGATATAGGTTTGTATGGAGCTATACATGGATATGTCTGTATGAATTTCTGAGACTGTCCAGGGGAAGGCAACCAGGATGATGAAAACCCTTGATTCTGTGCCCTAGGAGGATGCATTGAAGGAAGTTAGTTATGTTTAGCCTGGGGAAGGGAAGGTGGACTGGAGGGGCAGAGCTCGGTGTGGGAGGAAGGGGAATGATATCTGTCTTCAGGTATCTCCAGGGCTGTCGTGGAGGAGACATTAGACATTCCTACTTAGCCCCGTAGGACAGAACCAGGAACAATAGGTAGAAATTGCAGAGAGGCAATTTAGAAGTCAGGAAAAAACAACAACTGTTCTTTAACACAGCTGGCCAGAAGTAGAAGGGTGTGTGAGTGGGGGTGTTTTCCCTTTTCTTGGAGGTCTTTCAGCAGAGGTTAGATGATCACTTGTGGGTTATATTAGTCTTAGTTTATAGATTGTACTAAATGACCAACTTTGACATTCTGTGATTCAGTGATTCTTTAAATCATTCCAGGGTATGAATATCTAGAGGGAAAGGGACTTCCTGAGGTAACAAGGAATCTGATTTTGCTCCCAGCCTGTTTGCCTGGCTGACCTGGGTTCTAGCCACCCTAAGGCGCTTAGACCTCTGATAATAGCTCTGGGAGATTAGGGGCTTTGGCTGGAGAAACTTGGCCCCCAGCCAGGACAACCAGCTCTATTAGAGTTACAGGGGCCCTGATTCCCATGGTGGGTGGATGTGGGTGGCAGGGTCAGTGGGGGAGGGGGAGTGACAAGGGATGGTAATAGCTCTATGGTGTCTCAAACAGTTTTAGCCTTCCTGCACACTCCTGAAGAAGGACTTTAGAGGTAGAATGTCTTTTGGGGTAATGGGGTGAGGAGGATAATTCCTGCAAAAAGATGGAAGAACAGAGAGCTAGTGTCTCTTTTCATCTGCCTTCTTATCCTTAGGCTATTTATGTTGGAGCAGGAGGGAGGGTTTCCTTTTGTTTGGGGGAGGGTCCTAGCTATAGAAGCAGGAGCAAATGGAAGAGGGGAGAGGAGAGGGAAGGGGGAGATACTGAGGTAAGGATGCTGGACAAAGGGACCAGCTTTTTCACACCCCTTTCCCAGTTGCGGTAGTATGCTCTTCCAGAATTCCCAGCATCCAAGAGGGCAAGGGGTTGCCGTAGGTGTCCATAAGGAGTTTTTCAGATGATACAACAATCCTTTATGTTGGTGTTCCTTTTTCTAGGGCGTGTGCAGCTACAAGAAGGGGCATCCTTACTAATTGAAAGGCTTCAGACAGAGGACCAGGGTTGGTATGAATGTCGTGTGCTCTTCCTGGATCAGCCCAACCCCGAAGATGACTTTGCCAATGGCTCCTGGGTGCACCTCACAGTTAACTGTACGAACTGGGGAACAAAGTAGTTAGGGGGAGGAGGGAAGTCTAGGGTTGAAGGAAATATGGAGGCAGGGGAGCTGGAAGGTGGGAACTGCTCAAAGGGGATAATGGGAAGAGGTTAATCTTTCTATATAAAGTGCAGTTCCATTCTATAGCCTTTCATCGCATGCTTCCCCCATTTCCATGTTCTACCTTCTCTCCCTTCTTCCCTTCCCTTTCACCTTTTCTCCAGTCATCCTCTTTACTCTGCCCTCCTCCTGGGATTCCCTTGGGTATTACGTACCATCCATGTATGGTCTTAACCCTCTTGCAAAGTCTGTTGGCATGCATTGTCTCCTTTGAATCTTCAAAACAGAGGAAGGAGGACATTTTTATCCTCATTTTGCAGATGAGACAATTGAAACACAGACTATATGACTTGCCCAGGCTCACCCGCTATTTTGGGGGGAGGACTAGAAATCTCACCTGTGCTTTCAGTTATACCATGCTGCCTTCCTTCTTCCCCACTACCCTAGAAAGGCCCAACTCACCCCCTTGTCATTCCAAACAGGTCTGATATGGGGGAGGGTGTGGATGCATAGGCTTGACTGTCCCACTAATCCTGGCCTGGCTCTCAATGACAGCTCCACCCATCAATCATGGCCCTGGGCCACGGAATGCCTGGGCTGGTCGGGGGAGCAGCTGTGGGTAAGGTCACTGTGATGAGAGTCACTGTGGTGTAGTGGAGAGAGGGCTGAACTTAGAAGACCTGAGGTTAAATCCTGCCTCAGATGCTTACCAGCTGTGTGACTCTGGGCAAGATTAACTTTCTTGGCCTGTGTTTTTTCATTTGTAAAATGAGGGCCTTGGACTCAATGACCTTTAAGGTCCCTTCCTGCTCTGTGCTATGGATCCTACTGTGGATCCAATTTAATTAACTTTAGGGGCCGTCTGCTTTGTACTAGAGATTATACTTCTATTTTCAGTGTCTGTCTGTGTGTCTCCTTCCCCTGCTTGGGGGAGAGTTGACCCTGGGGCCCTGATACTTCCTGGCCAGGATTCTTTAGCCGGGCATAGTTGGGGATGATTCTGCTGACTCACCCAAGACAGAAACTCTACTTCTTCCGCCCATTGATTGATTGATTGGGCAGGGCCTTGTGCCTCTCACAATCTCTTTGTCAACAGCCCCTCCCAGATTCCTGGAGACTCCCCCACCAGTGTTAGAGGTTCGGGAGTGGGAGCCAGTGACCCTGCACTGTGCGGCCAGTGGCAGCCCCCAGCCTCGTGTGGCCTGGAAGCGTGATGGGCGGGACCTGGGCCAGGGCCAGGGCCAGGTGCAGGTATGAAGCAGGGAGGGTGGCATGGAAAAGAAAGTGGGGTATAGAGGGGTATAGAGATCGGGCAGAGCAATGGGCAGGGAGGATGAAGAGGATTGTGACTACCCCTCCCTGCAGCAGGCAGGGGTAGGCAGTCTGACTTGATCTCTTCCTGAAACTAAGTGCCACGGCCACAGGGTCTCCCTGTTCTTGGGGTTCTGCTGCCCTCTGCTGGTCATCTGTGGTAGCACAGGACCGTGCTTGGGACTAAAACAGAGATTAGAGTTCGGTTCCTCCCTCCCATTCTCCCCCCCCCCCCCCCCCCCCCCCCCCC